GACTTGATGCCCTACGAATATTGTTGCAAATGGGCAGGGAAATGTGAATTCTACTTTTGGAGGCGAATTTCGAGCGGCTGCCAAGATTATCGTCCACCAGCTGTCGGTAACTTATCATCTTTATGCCATGACTTTTTCGCATTGAAGGGACAATCTTTCAGGTTACGTGTATGGCGAAGGTCATTTCATAACGTTCGACAACGTCCGCTATACGTTCAGTGGCAAAGGCTATTACATACTAACGAAGTTCAAAACTCCATCTGCCAATGCTATGGTGCAGATCAGAATGGAACAGCCTCCAAAGACATTATGTAGGTGGGAGTGACGTAAAATCATGATCAACCCGAGGTGTTTTCAGGGAACACTGACGTGCCTGCGACCGTCGTTACAGGAATCACAGCTCAAGATAATGAATCAGCCGTAATAGAAGTATATGCTCGCAAGGAATTTCGTCGCTGGCGCTACAAAACTGATGTGTATGTCGACAGTACCAGAGTATTTTTCGATACACCGTGGCAGAAACTTCAGGTCTTTCGAGGTATCCTCTTTAAAACTATGAATAGCCTTTAAGCCGTTATATCATTGCCAATGAATGAACTGAATGAGGTCAGAAATGGGCGTTAATCAAAGAATCTTTGCTACGTTACTAAAGACGATTATACATAGTAAAGTTTCCATCCTTATTTAAAGTACTTAGCATGGTTTCTGGGGTTATTCATTTCACCGTTGTAACGATGCCAGTGAGAGGTTTAACTTTAAAATCCGCTACTCAACTATTACTTTTCATTATTATGACAAGTACCATTAATTCTGCTTGTTCTGTTCACTGCTGTTGTAAGTTGCGTCTTTGTAGGAGTTACGATACGTAGTCGTCCAAGAAACATGAACATGTCAGAGTTGGAAATAATGTTCGATACTGGATTAGGACTTTTGGTGAAAGAATCGCGAGGAATGCTGAACGTAATGGTATCCATTCCTCCGAAATATAACGAGACTTATGCCGTAAGTGGCACTTCGAATACTTCCCATGGGTCAGCTGTTTTTTAGTGGAGACAAAGGACAGAATTTGGAAGAATGGAACCGACAGCCGGTGTGTTTGGAACGGGCAAGTGCGCAAGTCATTACCACACAGTGGGTCTTTTGGGCGTCTACAACAATGATCCAAGGGACGACTTGACAACTCCAGATTGTAACGTCATCAATCCGCCATTATCTGAAACTGATAATCGAAATCTGTTCTATGAATTTGGCCAGAGATGTACAGCCATTTCAACCATAAGCTTGGCTGTAATTCACTTTTTAGGGAAACTTGATGGTAAACAAGATTCTGTGCTCTTCAATGCTATTCATCGGCCGATTTACAATCCCCATTTGTTTGCTAGCCTGCAGTACACTCCGACGTTTGATCCTTGGCAGAACAACAACATGACTTTTTATGAATCGCTCATATTCAGCCGGGACGAAGTGCGGGTAAGCATGCAGATTTGGCAGCTATCAGCCTTTATTTTAGCTGACATTATAAAACATCAATAATTGGCATTGTTAAGTATTTAAATGCAGTATTTATTTGAAGTGTGGGAAAGATATTTTTTCTGCTTTCGGCACTGATGCATGCAATATAAGGCAGAATAGAAAAAAACAGCGTGTAACTGCAGCATTTAGTGAGAAGAATATCTCCGGTAGCCAGAATCTGTTAGCGGCTATCTAGCTGGATGGGACGACACTGAATGTCTGTGGCGAGAATTTTGAACTTACTTCGTGCCGCCTAGGAGTGATGTTGTTTGAGATGTTTTGAAGGTGAATGAGCTCGCGATTTTCATTCATTGAAGGAAACAACACTATGGCAAACAAGCTGCATGATGATTTTATCTATTATAATGTATTGCAGTCTTCTAGAGCTGTCACATTGTTACAAGTATGGAAAATCAATAATAGACGAAATAGACCGCATAAACATCAATGTATACACTTGGTACATTTTTTTCGCGGTCTTTCGTCAACCAGCATGAGAGAGAATGTTGTAACAGCTTCCTAGTTTTGCTGCTGCTTATTCAGCATATTGTTTATGTGTTACGGTTGCAGCAATAGTCATCTAAATTGTACAGGTACATTCGCTGTATTTTCGGTCAGAAGCTGTTCGTGTTTAAGGTGAACAAGTATGGCAACGCAAGACTTTAGGGTAGTCGACGTCATTGAAAAACACGTATTGTGCAATGTCTACATGGGTACACTCGCAGAACACCAGATAATATTAACATGTCGATGTTTAACATGCTTATAATAACTGTTTCAGCAACAGTTGAAGAATATATCAGTAGCATATATTAGAATTCGCCGTATTTGGATTGAGTTGTAACTGTCTCTTGCATGCGCTGGGAACTTGGAATGACACAGTCCTTCAAAAACGGGTTAAAAATGGAACATAGCTCATCTGAACAATACCTAAACTGGTATGTTACTCTCATGAGTTCTTCTGGTAAAATATTAAAGAAGCCGTAACCTGGGAGTAGAAGAACGGCTGACAGTGATGAAAATTTATAGGACTGAAAAATTTTCCTTCGTATATATACAGAGTGGACGGAGGATTGGACATTTCGAAGCACCATTCTGGTCAAATGACATTTTTATTATAATAGCGAGTTCCCACTTTACAGCGGTGTTGGGAATGTCTGGTTGATATTCAGTTTGTAAGGAAGAAAAATACAGATGAGTACGTCATCTAAATGATAATCAGTGATGGTTAAGCAGAGCGAGTTTTTGCAGTGGTCGAAACATTGCTCAATGCATGAGAGAGTCTGAGAAGACAGAGTTCATAACAGATATCATGATTAGGTACATGTGGTGTTAGAAGTAAGTTAGCTGAGAGCCAAAGAAGTGATACTCGCAGTATGCTTACTATTCACGGTTTTCTCAGAATTGGAAGTTTACTCACTGAGTTAGAAGTCGGCTGATTTTTTTCTCAAACAGAAAAATCGAAAGATCTACGCTGTTATATAAGATGGATAAAACAGCAGTAAAAACGGTACTGTTTATGCAGTCCAGACTAGCAGGTGAACAATAAGGCACTAAGGAACTGACTTTAATTATTAATTACTTTTCTTGATATTTGGTCTGTCGTAGTTTGAAACAGCTAAATATATTTCGATCCCCAACTTTGTTATTAGTCATTCAGTTTTTTTTGCAGGTTGCGTGCAAAGGATCAGCTAGTTGCGAGTTCGACTATCTAACAACAGGACGAAGGGAAATTGCTATGGATACTTTGACAAGCGAAATGACATTCCATGACATGAAGCGGCGAGGAGAAAAGCTATGTAAGCCATTGCTGATATTAAAATTAAAATTTTATGCGTAAAGCACAGTTACGGAGGAATCGCTCAGATGAGAGAGTCTACGAATAATTACTAGGGAGCTATTAAATATCAAGCAGTAGTGATAAATTAGTGATATTAGTACTGTAAAAATAAAATTAGCTGCTCAGAAAAGTTTTATTAGAGGTCACCGTGCATCATTTTATAGATTACGTGCGCTATTTTTTGTATCTACAAACAGCCAAAAACATCAACGGTAAAGTTCAAACGTTTAAGGGAAAAAATTGGTAATGATGCAAGCCAACGACGACTGAACCATTATTGCACACCATATTGCTGGCTTATCGGCCCTGCGATACAGAAACGATAAATTTTATCAACTAAGCATTTGGGTGTCAATTTTTATGTATTGCGTTTATTCCTCTAGAGAGTACTTTTCGACTGGAGGGTCTATATATCGTTTATTATCTTTCATTGAGCTGTGAGGAAATGTTCTGGTTTCGTTCAGATATTTATCTCAAAAGATACTTAGAATTTTGATTCGTTTATAGAGAACGAGATTTCGTTTATAATCTTTGAAACTATCCTTTCTCATCAGGTGCATTAACTTTAAAAATTACTGGTTAAATTTATATCTGAATTTTAGTCTTGCCATTGTTCATGTTGGTTTCTGTTTAAGTGATAAGCTGTGGACCATTGTGGAAATATTCCGGCGTGCTGAAATATCCAGTTGGGAAGAACTACTTGGACGGTGTAAGAGTGAACCTCTTCTGTAAACCAGAGTATTTCATTCATGGGGATCCGCAGCGGGTCTGCGTTAATGGCACGTGGTCCCCGGGTTGGTGGGCATGGTGTCGCTGTAAGTGACACTGTTGCTATTTGCAATGACAGTAATTAACATTTCTCTTTACAGGGAGGACGGAAGAAAATGCGCTTAAATGGTTCACTGGAATCGTTGTCGCATTGCTGATATTTGCGATAATCTTTGGAATCTTCTGGTACTGCAACACTCTCAAAAAACAGAAACTGAAATCAAGGGGAAGACAATTCTTTATTGGAAGGTAAGCAGCGTTTCGCATTACATGTATTTACGAGAAGTAGTACAGTTATGGAAAACATTTGCGCTGAGAATACTGGTAAGCAGTTTAGACGACGAAGCGAAATTCAGATGAGTTGCTAAACAGTTCACTGATTGACTTTGGATTAGATCTGATAACGACTTTACAAAATCACCGTGTTCTTATATTCTGCATTGCCTGTACCCCCTGTCGAATGAAAATCAGGAACTTTATCTAAATTAATCGAGCGGAATGCTGTCGTTCAAGTTTGTCTTACGAACTCCCTCAGCATCTATTCGTACTTTAGTAAATAGATTGGCATAAGTGTGGGACCTTTGCCTGTGACCCAGTATTTATTGTGGCCTAGACAATAAAGTGCATCCTTCTTATTTAATTCTTTCATCGCACCCTGCATACTTTCCTAGCTGCATGTCACTCTCGTTTGACAATCAATTTAGGATGGTTGGTAGAGTTTCATCGTAACAAATACTACTTCAGTTGTTTCTTTAGCATGTTCAGAGCGGTCCTGGCTCTTCTGATACTTTACTAATGATTTATTTTGCAGCGTCTGTGACCGACGATGAGAAGTAAATGAGTTTAGGTCACTTGACAAGTACTCTTTACTTCGATTGCAAAGGCATAACTTTGCGGTTACATGATTTCAGTTAGGCAACCTTTATCAGTTCTAATTTTGAAACTAGCTACTGGTCTTAAAATTCCTTCAAAATAAAGCCAATTTGTATGATTTGCTTAGCAAGTAGATTTAGATGAGGGCACGGAGTCGGTTCATAATAGAAGTGTGCGCTCAAGATGCATAGGTAGTTATGGAATAAAACCATGTATAGAAATATCCCGATTCCTTTCCAGCATTTAATGAAAACCCTTAATCAATAGTTATATTAATGTTTTTCAGGCTCTAACCGAAAGTCTAAACCAGTATTTGCAAAACTTTTTATCTCAACCCTGAATACAACCATTTTCCAAGCTGGCGGCTCAAAAGGCCGATCACAATTAAATATAAACTTCGCACAACACATGGCCGTCAGTCGCTCACTCTCTCATATATCTACGTAACTGACTGAGAAACCTTCCAACGTACCACCTGTACCCCGCAACAAGTATGACACGTTTCGCATGCATAAGCTGTGTACAAATATCTGGGTTTGCCGCATAAACTACTTAACTGCTATACAATTCGCGGCTCTGTTTAACAGCTAAAGCAAATGCTTTGCAAAACTTTGCTAGACCATATGTAACAATAACTTTTATTCTTGAAAAATATGACCATGAGAAATTGTAAGTCGTCATAAAAAACTACAATTCCAGACATTTTGAGCAGATCGCATCAGATTTTTCTATTAATGGAATTTATGCAGGTATTTTTAAATATATCGTTTTCGCATTATCCGTGTCATTGTATATTCGTATTAGTTTTTTCACATTCCCTACGCTAGATAATTAAATTTACCGTATAGCGACCGTATGTCCTGTGTGTACTTAAAAAACTCTGATCTATTTTGAGGCGGCATATAGATTAGTTTAATTTCTTCCTCGATATTGAAAGTTTATGCGGTGAGGCAGTGGATGTTTTGTTGGAGGTACATTCCCGAAATCAGTAAAAATGGAGGAAGTGCGAAGAAACCTTCTTCACAACAGCCGACTATTCCAGTGGTTGACCACGAACCCCCGAAGTCTGGCGCTTACAGCGGTCGAGGCCAAGCCAGGTATTCAGAAAGTACGGCATGAAGCGACGCTCAAATGTAAATGTGTGCAGTAGTTCACAACCTTGTTAAATACATGTAAAAAAGTGTACAT